GTCTTGGACCACCTGAGGGCAATGCTGAACTAATCAAGTAGAAAGTCTCTTTATCCCATCTTGAAATACAATAAACTACCCCCAAGGTCAGTGACTGACCAGTTATGATTCCAGCATAACTGTTTTCCACATATTGTAAGTACTCGTGAAAAATGTTTCACATTCAGAAGTCCACTTGCCCTATAGAAATGTACTCCACATACCAACAGTTACTTCTCCCTGACTTGACTTGTAACAATGTAGGAAATAAAGCCTTTTACAGAGTTGTGTTCTAGATCATTATTGAGAGGGTTTAAGCCTTTTATAGATTTGTATTCTGGATCATTATTAAGAGAGTTTCCTAGCCAGAACAAGAGATACTGAAGAATTTCAAATGAGCCAGAAGCTTAAGACAACTTATTCAGCAGGGTAACATCCAATAGAGCGGCATTCACCAGAACAGTGTCCAAAAGAGTCTATGAGAAAGTAGCAAGAAGTAGGCCCAGGAGGGTTAAGACAAGACACCACCAGAAGACACCAATTTCCCTTTACAGATGCATTCTGGTCTTAATATCTTCTCTATACATGTGACTCTTCCCAAGGCATCCTGATATGCACGTTTTCTGCCTGCCTGGCTTTCCCTACATGTGCTCTCACAATACATGCTCCCTAAATATGTGCCCCTCAGAGTACATCCTGGCCACTTGTATGGCCTAGATGTGTATCTTTCCATGAGTCCCAATGGGTCCTCTTCTCATAGATGTTATGCACAACTGTGGGAGAGCCCGCCACAGGTCCATGAGAGAAATGTTTTGTTGCTATTTTTCTTATTATGTCATTTCATTCAATGCTCTCATTTTGAACTGACTGCATCATCTCACTATTAATGGCGAGCACATTGTTAGGGGCTTATAGTTATGGTTTTAGGGAATGTGAAAGCACAGAGTACCTTGAATCTGAGTAGCTGGCCATGGGGCATCCACTGTGTATGTTGAAGAGGGCTCCTAAGCGCCACTTAGGGAACCAGACAAAAATGAGGAAGGTAGAAGGGTTTGGGGTATGGTAGAAAAAAGACTAGGCTGAGAATTCTAAAGGCTATGGTTCTTGTCCTAGCTTTGCCATTAACTTATTAGGTAACCTTGGAGAAGTCACTTAACTTCTCTAGTGTTCAGATTCTTCATCTATAAAATGAGGGTATTAGACTAGATAACCTCTAAAATCTCTTCTCGCTTTGAGTTTTTAGGATTCTTTTAGTCTCAAAAGCCTAATAGTTACCAAGAAATCATAAGATCATAGATGCAGTCCTGGAAAGGACCCCAAAGCCCAGCGAGCCCATCTCCCATCTAGTTTTACACAGAAGAAAAATGAGGCAAAGAAAGGCTATGTGATTCACCCAGGATCACACAGCTTCCAGCTCCAAATCCAATGCCCTACCCTCATTGCCATAGGCTTCATAGGATTCTGCTTGTTAGTTGCTGGTCATCATCCTGTACCTTCACTAGCCATCTCTGGGTTATGCTCATTAGCTTCCCTTTCCCTTTGCTTTTTTTTTTGTTTGTTTGGTTTGGTTTTGTTTTTGGCAAGGTAATTGGGGATAAGGGACTTACCCAGGGTCACACACATGTCAAGTGTCTGGTCTGAGACAGGATTTGAACTCAGGTCCTCCTGACTCCAGGACCATTGCTAGCTCATGCCACTCCTTCCATAATCTTCTTTCTTGTCCCAATAAATGGACAACGGATGACACTTGGTACAGATTCCATTGGTCCAAAACACTCAAGATAATTCATTTACATTTCCAAGGGAACTTCCAGTCTGGTTGCCATCAACTCTAGCTTCACAAATAAAAACGATTTTATGTCATTTCCTGACAGCCCTTACTGCTATGGGAATTGTTTCAGCCAAATCAGAATATATTTTTGCATGGAAAAAGTAATAAATGGTGGTTTGGTACAGACTGAACTAGTATGATCAGTGCTGTACTTGAGGAATATTAAGGGTTTAAGAGGCTTTTGTGGATTGGTCTGGGAGCTTAAACATAATTTACACCATCTTGTATGAAGGGAAATTAGTTCTGAGTGTTCAAAAACTGCCTTAAAAATAAACTTACCATTTCTATAGTGCAAAGCACTTCGCAAATATTATCTCATTTTATCCTCACAACAGCTCTAGGAGGGAGGTATTATTATCATTTCCATTCTACAAACAGGGAAACTGAAGCCAATAGAAGTTAAATGACTTGTCCAGGATCTCACTGCCTATAAATGTCCAAAGCTGGATTTGAACTCAGATCTTCCTGACTCCAGGTCCAGCACCCCCTCCTCTGCACCACCTAGCTGCCTCCTTAGAATATATTCATAAATGGAATCTGCCTGAACCCACGCTTATATCCTCTAGCCTGATTTCAAATAATAAACTTTGATTTCTTGGCATACAAAATAACCTTAATGAACAATTGGGGAGGTTTTCTGGAGGTGGCAATTTTGACATGCTAAATTAGCTCTTTCAACATTGAAACTTGTAGACCAAGACTCCCCAGGGCCCTCTTAAGACAAAAAAGCTTATCATTTCCCACCCTATGACCACTCAGCTCCCTGACACAAAGTGTCTGTTCGGGAGGTCAACTCTAGAATGTGCACCATACATCTTCATGCACGAGATATGCTAATTTATCACCCAGACACAGAGGCTTACTGTAAACTAATCCAAACTGCTGATGATGCACTAAATCAGGTTGAGGGATGAGCATAAATACAGTGGCAAGTGAAGTTCAGAAGGATACAGATCTTCCTGATCAATGAGATGTCACTGAGCAAATGAAGTGGAATGTTGACAAACATATGGTGCCACACGCCAAGTTCAAAATTAACCAATTCATGCACTGCAAGACAAATGCAAATGTGCATCCAGGCTCCAAAGAGAGGTGCGCTACAAAGAAGTCAAGGACCAGATGTCAGCTATTTTAGATAAATCATGACTCCACTGATTTGCTGGAAAAAGAAATGTCTATTAACAGCAAGAATTGCATGGAAAGGAGCTATATGATAAAAACACGTTCTGAAGAAATAAACATTTTGCAAAGAAAATTGTTTTATCTGCTCAATCTACTGAGAGATCTGTAAACACTGATGTGGACAAAGAATAGAAATCTTATGTAACAGATAATTTGAGATTATTGGGAGAGGGACTCTCACCTATGATTTCACTCATATAGGGAGTGCATGGGTGAGAAAATCTCCTCCACCCACACCCAATGAACACTTTCCTGCAATTTATAATTTTAGAGAGTTGCCCAGAACACTGAGTAGTTAAATGACTTGCTCAGGCTTACATATCCAGTATGTATCAGAGACAGGACTTGATCAAGTTTTCCTGACTTTGTGCCCAGGTCTCTATTTACTACACCACACTACTTCTCTAGATAAATCAATTGCTAGTAAATAAAATCCCATTTTTGTGGCCCTGAGCAAAGCCCAGATCATTTCCGGAACCACTATACTCTGACCTCCACAGGGAAATAGTGATTAGAGGACTTTGGGGGAGAGGGAGGACTTGTATATCTATATCACACCTGTATTTCCCAGCGATTTGGTAAATTTCAAGGATTCTGATCTCAAATTTTCTCTACACCCTCCACATAGACAATGTCTTTTTTTTAAAATATATTTTATTTCACATAAACAATTTCTTAAGGGAGAAATCTGTAAGAAAGTGATTTCCCCAATAAACTTGTGAACATTACAGTCTGTTCGTCATAGAGTAAGGGAAGAAATCGGCAAAAACTCACCCTACAGATTGATAAATCACAATATTCTATATAAGAAGAAGAATTGATTAGATCCCACTGGAATACATATTCCAGCTCTTGTTAGCACCAAGCTTCAAAGGTATCTGGGGAGCTGGCAGGAAAGGAGGTAGGAAGGAACTCCTCCTTACAAGGTATTTCCCCTCCCTTTTGTTCTATATATCTATAGTTGACATAACATATTTAACTTTTACTTTATATTTTACCTCTCGGTAAGTTTTGGTTAAAGGTAGAATTATAGTACTAAAATATGACCTGATCCCAGATGTAGTTTATTTAAATTTCAAAATGAAAAGCTTACGAAGAGCAGATAAGATTGATTGCTCTCTCTGTCTTAGCATAATTGTATTTCAGGTGAACATCAATTTACTTTAAAGGACACTTCTAAGTAGCAGAATGCATCATAAATAATTCATCAATCACAGCTGCTGGTAACCTGATTTACTCAAACAGATTCCAACAGAATAAAGAAGTTGTATTGTTTTCAATATTTGTGTTTGTTTTCAAACAGTTTAAGAGACTGGCTTTGCCATGAATCACCGCCTAGAAGACTTCATGCTCCATAGTCAGCCTGGAAAAATGTGTTTCTAGCTATACAGGCTTATTAATTAGAAAAAATAGTTTTTGAGATATTTTCAGAACCAAGAGCAATTTCTGTGTATCTAAGTCAGAAGCAATGGGGGAGAAGGGGTGGAACATGATGAGCTTTTCTCACATATGTCATTCTAGCAAGGTTAATATTATTCATTTCTATCTCCATACCAACTTTTAAACATAACTGAAGTGAAGCACATTTTTCTTCAGCAAATCCAACTCAGGTTATTCTAGTTCTTGAACACTTCAAAATTACTTCAGCTTGGCAGGGCACATTAAATGGAGGCAAAATCATACACTTGTTCAAGTTCAGTCAGTTGACACAGTGAGAATTGTATCTACAACTTCATCTATCATACTGAAAGACACTGCTTACCTTTACAAGTCTTCATGTTTTCAATCAAATTCAGCAACCCTGTATTGGTGATTTCCTAAATCTTGAGATATGCTTTGAGAAGAATATACTGACAAGAAGAAGAAGAAGAAGAAGAAGAAGAAGAAGAAGAAGAAGAAGAA